TCCTGGGCTCAAGCAGTCCTCCCACTTAACCTCCCATGGAGCTGGGACCACAGGAACTTTTCTACTGCCCACAATTCCCTCCACTTTTACTTTATAGTTTTCCTTTTTAAACCTTTTGAAAGGCTTAGTTGTTCTGCCTGAGTTTTTTTTTTTTTTTTTTTTTTTGAGACGGAGTTTCGCTCTTGTTACCCAGGCTGGAGTGCAATGGCGCGATCTCGGCTCACCGCAACCTCCGCCTCCTGGGTTCAGGCAATTCTCCCGCCTCAGCCTCCTGAGTAGCTGGGATTACAGGCACACGGCCACCATGCCCAGCTAATTTTTAGTATTTTTAGTAGAGACGGGGTTTCACCATGTTGACCAGGATGGTCTCGATCTCTCGACCTCGTGATCCACCCGCCTCGGCCTCCCAAAGTGCTGGGATTACAGGCTTGAGCCACCGCGCCCGGCCTTCTGCCTGAGTTTTTAAAAGAAAAAAGCGTCTCTCTTTTCTCTTTACAGTATTTCTTTCTTTAGTTTTACTTCCCATCTCTCTCTCTCTCTCACACCCACTTTTTCTTACCGTTTTCCAACATTTGTCAACCCTTTTTTAACATTTTGCTGGCCAGAGTGGGACTTGCCTTAGGCCGCCGCCTGTGCTGCTGGCTGTTATTACCTTCTTGATTATCATGTTGCTCAATGACTTTGCAGGGCTAAGTGCCTGGAATTTTTCTAGAAGAAATTCAAGATTTTTTTTTTTTTTTTTTTTTTTTTTTTTTTTTGAGACGGAGTTTCACTCTTGTTACCCAGGCTGGAGTGCAATGGCGCGATCTCGGCTCACCGCAACCTCCGCCTCCTGGGTTCAGGCAATTCTCCTGCCTCAGCCTCCTGAGTAGCTGGGATTACAGGCACGCACCACCATGCCCAGCTAATGTTTTGTATTTTTAGTAGAGACGGGGTTTCACGATGTTGACCAGGATGGTCTCGATCTCTCGACCTCGTGATCGCCTCGGCCTCCCAAAGTGCTGGGATTACAAGCTTGAGCCACCGCGCCCGGCCTCAAGATTTTTTTTTTTAATGTTCATGCTTGCATGGGCCTGCAGGCTGCTGTACCTTGTCACTTGGAGCACCTGAATTGACAGATGCGGTATTTACACATGCGATCAATACTATCGAACTCATCAATTCCACTCCTGATATATTGCCAGCAGAAATGAGGCCTTATGCTGGCTGGGCAGGGTGGTTCACACCTGTAACCCCAGCACTTTGGGAGGCCAAGGCAGGTGGATCACCTGAGGTCAGGAGTTCAAGACCAGCCTGATCAACATGGTGAAAGCCCATGCCTACCAAAAAAAAAAAAAAAAAAAAAAATTAGTCAACCGTGGTGGTGAATGACTGTAATTCCAGATACTTGGGAGATTGAGGCAGGAGAATTGCTTGAACCCAGGAGGCAGAGGTTGCAGGCAGTCATGATTATACCATTGCACTCCAGCCTGGGCAACAAGAGCAAAACTCTCTCTCCAATTAAAAAAAAAGAAAAAGAATGGCCGGGCGCAGTGGCTTACACCTATAATCCCAGCACTTTGGGAGACTGAGATGGGTGGATCACAAGGTCAAGAGATCGAGACCATCCTGATCAACATGGTGAAACCCTGTCTCTATTAAAAATACAAAACATTAGCTGGGCATGGTGGCACGTGCCTGTAATCCCAGCTACTCAGGAGGTTGAGGCAGGAGAATTGCTTGAACCCAGGAGACGGAGGTTGTGGTGATCCAAGATCGCGCCATTGCACTCCAGCCTGGGTAACAAGAGCGAAACTACGTCTCAAAAAAAAAAAAACAAAGAAGAAGAGGGCTTATGTTCACCAAAATTCATTTATAGAATGTTCATAGCAACTTAATTCGTGATAGCTAAAAATGAGCCAGATTTCCAACAGCAATAGAATGGATAAATAAAATTGTGGATATCTAATATAATGGTCTATTGCATAGTAATGAAAAATAATTCACTATCTGTAATAACATGGGTAAACCTCCCAGACATAAAACAAGCCAGATGATCAAGAGATCTCTTTAACTAAGTGAAGGAATCTGTAAGAAGGGAAGCTGCAGAAGTCCACTTAGATTTATGAAAATAATTAGGGATGCGAAGTTTTTTTTTTTTCAAATCAGGGTCTCACTCTGTCATCCAGGTGGGAGTGCAGTGGGGCAATGTTGGCTCATTGCAGCCTCAACCCACACCCCTGTCCCAAGACCTCTGGGCTCAATCAGTCCTCCCCTCTCAGTCTCCCAAGTTGCTGGAACAACAGGCAAGTACCCCCACACCTGGCTAATTTTGTATATTTTTTGCAGAGACCAGAGCTCCCTATGTTGCTCAGGCTGGTCTCGAACTGCTGGCCTCAAGCAATCCTCCTGCCTCAGCCTCTGAAAATGTTGTGACCCACTCCACCCAGGCAGAGTGAGGATGTTTTTGAGGACTGTGGTAAACAGCCTCTTCATATACATGTCCTGTATAATTCTCTCCCTTTGACCATTGGCTGGACCTAGGGACTACTGGGACTCGTTTCTTTTCTTTCTTTCTTTCTTTCTTTCTTTCTTTCTTTTTTTTTTTTTGAGATGGAGTTTCGCTTTCTAGGTCAGGCTGGAGTGCAACCGTGTGACTTCGGCTCACTTCAAACTCCGCCTCCCAAGTTTAAGCTATTCTCCTGCCTCAGCTTCCCAAGTAGCTGGGATGACAGCATATTCCACTACATCCAGCTAGTTTTCGTATTTTTAGTCTCGATAGTGTTTTACCATATTGGTCAGGCTGGTCTTGAACTCTCAACCTCAGGTACTCCACCCACCTCAGCCTCGTAAAATTTTGGGATTACAGGTGTGAGCCCTCTTGCCTGGCTGGACCTAGGTACTATTTTCTAAGTAGCAATAGAATATGTAAAAGTGATGGGATGTCACTTCTGGGATTAGGTTACAGAAAAGGACTGTGATCTCTCTCTCTCATTTTCTTTTTCTCTCTTCCTCTTTCTCCTCCCTAGCCCTGGGGCAAGCCAGCTTCTTCTTGTGAAGAGGTACAATTGGACAGGAACTGAAGTCTCCAGCCAACAACCTTAGAAGACCTGAGGCCTGCCAGCAGCTGTGGAAGTGAGTTTGAAAAAGGATTGTGAAGCCTTAAGAGAGCTGTAACCCTGGCTGACAGCTTGATTGTATCCTCATGAGAGCATGAGCCAGAGGATACAGCTAACCTCACCCAGATTCCAAGCCCACTGAAACTGTGAGGGAAAAAAAAGTTTATTGTTTATTAAGCTGCTACATTTGGGGCGATTTTTACCCACCAATAGGTAACCAATACAAAGATATTGCTTATTACTCAAAATTACTATATAAAGCCCCTGAAAAATGGAAAGCTGCAACTAGGGAAACACTGAGAATCTCTGAGAACACTGTGTTTCTTCTTAGAGACAGTGAGAAAAGCACATACATGTGTTTTCCTTTTAGTTTTGGCCACCAGGAAGCTCAGAGCCAAATGTATGACCCAATTTTAATCAATGTGTAAGCCCCTATGACCTGCTTATCTGTGTTCTTATTCCTGGCCTTTCATTTTATTCTGACTTTTTTCTTTTTTTGGAACAAGACAGACTTTCACTCTTGCTGCCCAGACTGGAGTGCAGTGGCATTATCTCAGCTCACCGCAAACTCCGCCTCCCAGGTTCAAGGGATTCTCCTGCCTCAGACTCCGGAGTAATATCTGGGATCACAGGCATGCACCAACACACCTGGCTAATTTTGTATTTTTATTAGAGACAGGGTTTCTCCATGTTGGTCAGACTGGTCTTGAACTTTCGACCTCAGGTGATCCGCCTGCCTCAGCCTCCCAAAGTGCTGGGATTACAGGCACAAGCCACCACACCTGACGGTGAGTTTTCCTTTTCTTTGTACTAATTTTTTTAGCTCATCTATATTTTCTATGTGATATGAATTATGATAAGCCACCTCAAATTCAACTTACAGAGAAGCAAGGCATTTGTAAATTTTTTACCCAGGCTGGAGTAACAAGATTGCAATGGTGCGATCTCGGCTCACCGCAACCTCCGCCTCCTGGGTTCGGGCAATTCTCCTGCCTCAGCCTCCTGAGTAGCTGGGATTACAGGCACGCGCCACCATGCCCAGCTAATTTTTTGTATTTTTAGTAGAGACGGGGTTTCACCATGTTGACCAGGATGGTCTCGATCTCTCGACCTGTGATCCACCCGCCTCGGCCTCCCAAAGGATTACAGGCGTGAGCCACCGCGCCCGGCCCAATTTTTTTTTTTTTTTTTTTTGAGACTCATCCTCTATGGCCCAGGATGGAGTGCAGTGGTGTGATTTCTGCTCACTTCAACCTCTGCTTCCCTGGTTCATGTGATCCTCGTGCCTCAGACTTCTAAGTAGCTGGGATTACAGGCGTGCACCATCATGCCTGGCTAATTATTATTATTATTTTTTAGTAGAGACGGGGGCTTCACCATGTAAGCCAGGCTGGTCTTGAACTCCTAACCTCAAGTGATCCACCTGCCTTGGCCTCCCAAAGTGTTGGGATTACAGGCGTGAGCCACCACGCCCGGCCCATAAATCATGTTTTAAAAATAGGTTTTTAATTTAAAACATAGTTTTGCACATTAAAAAAAAAAGTTTTGCAGAAGTTGAACACAAAGTGCTCGGGTGGGAAGATAAGGTCACAGGAGTGTGGCTCAGGAGTTCCAAGCATTGGCCAAGGGAGATTTGGACTGGATAAGAAATACCAAGTGATAAGGGCGAAAAAGGGAAAAAGGACAGCAGCTGACTGCCAGCGCCAGAGGGAGGGGCCGAGGGCTCAGCCAGTCACCCACAGCGGGCTCCGTGCAGCAGGCCCCTCGCAGCGGCTCCCCTGAGCGCCTCCCTCCCGGCCCCGCCCCTCGGCCCGGCCCCGCCCCTCGGCCCGGCCCCGCCCCTCTCGCGCCCCGCGGCAGCGCCGCCTCAGTCTCCGCCGGCGGATCCGGCCTCCCCGGCGGTTGCGCGCTCCGCCCTCTCCCTCCGCGTCCGCGCGCGCCTGCCCCGCTCCGCCCGCCTCACTCGTTTCGGGGCGGTTGGGCCGCGCGCCTGTGGGGGCGGGGCCCGGAGCAGGCGACCGAGCCAATGGGGCGCGGCGGCGGCGGCGGCGGCGGCGGCGGCGGCGGCTGGGTCGGGCCCCGACGGGCGGCGGCGGCTGAGGTGGAGGCGGAGGGAGGCGGCGGCGGCGGCGGCGGCGGCGGCGGGGCGAAGATGGCGGCGCCCGTCCTGCTGAGAGTGTCGGTGCCGCGGTGGGAGCGGGTGGCCCGGTACGCCGTGTGCGCCGCCGGGATCCTGCTCTCCATCTACGCCTACCACGTGGAGCGGGAGAAGGAGCGGGACCCCGAGCACCGGGCCCTCTGCGACCTGGGGCCGTGGGTGAGGTGCTCCGCCGCCCTCGCCTCCAGGTAGCCGGCGTGGGGGAGTGGGCCGGGGGCGGCCGCGCGGGGCGAGGGCGGCGGCCGGGGGCGGGCGGCGCGCGGCGGGAGCTCGGGCCTGGGGCGGCGGGCGCCGGGCCGCGGGGCGCGGACGGGGTCGGGGGCTGCGGGGCGGCCCGAGCCCAGGCCGCGCGCGGAGGCGGCGGGGCCGCGAGGCCGCCGGCGAGGGATGAGCTGGCAGAGTGCGGCCCGGAGGCCGGGGCGGGCTGGGCTGGGGCGCCCGGGTCCGCGGAGGGTGGGTCCCGGCCGGCCTGACAGCTTTCCTGGTTCTCGGGAGGCGCGCCGGGGCTGCGGGAGCCCGTCCGCCGCACGCGCGGACAAGAGTCCCCCCGTCGCCGCAGCCCAGGCTCTGGGGCTCGCGCGGACTCGGGGGGCTGCGTTTCCCGGCGTCTTCCCGGTGCTGGGACAGGTGTTTCCGTGGTCGGGCCTCTTTGCACTCCAGCGCTGGTGAGAATTTGCAGACTTCCTGGGACGGTGACATTTGCGGGCAAACACGAATTTGACCCGACTCTGGAAGAAGATACCGGCACTTAGCATATCTGATTTCTTGGATTTCCCCTCGTATATTTCAGTGTGCCAGGAGGGGGAAACGGTCTGAGTTTGGGTCTGAGTTTAAGCTTCATTGGAGTAAAGGACAAATATGTTATGTTACGGTGGTGTTTTAGGCATTGGGAGGACTTTTAAACGTTGTTGCTTATAAGTGTAGTAGCATACCCACAACAGATGAAAAATGCACGCTTTGCTAAACTGGAGCGGTTGGTTTGCGTTACTGATCATTTTAGTGTTGTTGTTGTTTTTTTTTTTTAATGTTGTAATTGGTTTGTCTGTTATTTTAATGCATTAAATATTTCTAGGCAGGTTACTTTCAAAAAGGGAGGAATTTACATTTTAAAGGTGGCTGCTTTTTTTTTTATGGGGATGTAAAAACATAAAAGTCGAAGGAATGATTTCAGATTTGATAGGTTATGGTTTTAATAGAGATTATGTCTAAATATTTAGTTGTTTGTTAACAGTAGTCACATTTGAGCAATTTCTTCCCCTCCTGTTGATTGGTAAATTGGTATGTAGACAGAAATGTATAGTTCCCTAGTTTATTTCGACTCAAGTATTGTTGATTACATGAACAAGGTAGCTTTGGAGTTTGTCTTGTTACTGGTTACAAACATCAGAGAGCAGATCTTTCCACTTAGCCTTCTCATGGACCAGATACTCTGTCTCATTTGCTCTTAAACCAAAATCCTGTAGCTTTTTACAGGGCAAATAATTATCACATGGTCAAATGAAACATTTTTAAAATGCATTTGAAATGTAGGTATCGGTTTACAGGGGAAAGTACATAGATGTGACAAAAAGTTCACATTTGTACTTGGTTATTAAGAACCAAGTTAATAGGCTGTTTAGACTCTCAGATACCCTTTGAGAACCATCGAATGTCTTTTATGCAAACATTTTTATGTTATTTCCACTTTGGGAAAGGACTTTTAAACTCGTAAGTACATTCCACCTGAAGTTAATTCAATGAATAAATGTATAAGGAGAACATCATGCAGCAGCACATTTCAAGTATTTAAGAAACAAGAACTAAAAATAACTTGATCCTAGGTTAATATGGAATTAAGCAGAATTATTACCAATTTAAAAATTTTTTTGAAACAAGTAGTTTATAGTAAATGGACCTTTTAACATTGGGGCATGGAAGGACTACTTTATGCTTAAGTTCTTAAAATTCTTTTTTAAAAAAGAGTTTTGAACCACTTAATAAGCATATATTCTAAATATTCACATATATCCTACAAGAGCTGAGTGTGCATCATAAAACATCAAGAAGTATATTAAAAGTATATATAAGAACATGTAAGACTAAAGGTAACTGGATATCTTTATAGTGTTAAATGTGAATTAAATATGTTGTGACTGAAAGTGTTTCATTGTGTAGCTGTGAACATAAAACAGTTTCACTTAGATGCTTGTTAAAGGTTAGGTAAAATACTAATAAGAGTAAATAACTTACTTGCTATCTATACAGTCAAATTAGTTTAAGAAATTTGTTCAGTTTGATCAGCCTGTTTATAAACTACTTGCAAAAATCAAGTAGTTTATAAACTACTCATTTAACAAATAAATTTGCAGGTCAACTTATTTTGGAAATAGTTTATAAACAGGCTGATGAAAATCACACATGTATATGTACATATAAAATCATATACATGTATAGACTAATTTTCTTTTGGAGGTAGGTACACAAAACATTGAAAGTTTTTATTTTGTCAAGCTGAAAGAGACTTTAAATGAAAGCTGATTATTGGACACTTCAAGTTAATTTCTTTTGAGTAGTGATTGCCATGTAGCAGTAGTACTCAAAGATGTGACTCTTTTAGGAAAAGAAAGTTTGATTCCAGAGAGTTAACAGATGAAAAAGATTCTGAAGAAAGTCCTCTTCCAGGATCCAGTGTAAGCACATGGTTTTGGATTACTTATACTCAACTTTATTCTCATTTCACAATCCCCAAATGTCCTAATCCAAACAGAATAAGGTAGAAGTTAATGAGAGAATCTTGAGGGGCATATGTTATCTGTGTGTAAAGTCCCCTATTATTTTGGGGCCATAATAATATAAAGGGCCAGATTTTTAGATTTCTAAAGAAATACTTCCCCAAAATTAGGAGGCTACAATAGAAATGCTGAATTTTTTTTTTTTTTTTTTTTTGGAGACAGAGTCTTACTCTGTCACCAGGCTGGAGTGCAGTAGCATGATCTCAGCTCACTGCAGGCTCTGCCTCCTGGGTTCGAGTGATTCTACTGCATCAGCTTCCCAAGTATCTGGAATTACAGGCATGTGCCACCACGTCCAGCTAATTTTTGTATTTTTAGTAGAGACAGGGTTTCACCATGTTGGCCAGGATGGTTTTGATCTCTTGACCTCGTGATCCACCCACCTCGGCCTCCTAAAGTGCTGAGATTACAGGTGTGAGCCACCACGCCCAGCCTGACTTTTTATTTCCACCAGGTACAGCCAATAAAAACAAATATCACACCACTGTCTCCTGTCACCATCATTCCATTTAATAAAAGGATATTTCCACTCAATTTGAAAGAACAGAATCTCTCACAATAAATTTTATTTTTTAGTTTTTTGAGACGGAGTCTTGCTCTGTTGGCAGGCTGGACACAATCTCGGCTCACTGCAACCTCCGCATCCCGCTTTCAAGCGATTCTCCTGCCTCAGCCTCCTGAGTAGCTGGGACTACAGGCATGTACCACCACATCCAGCTAATTTTTGTATTTTTAGTAGAGACAGATTTCACCATGTTGGCCAGGATGGTCTCAAACTCTTGACCTCATGGTCTGCCCGCCTCAGTCTCCCAAAGTGCTGGAATTACAGGTGTGTGAACCACCATGCCAGGCCAGAATAAAAGATCTTTACATGGAATCATTTAGTTACATTGAAAAGTTTGCTTTCAGACCAGCCTGGCTAACATATTGAAACCCTGTCTCTACTAAAAATACGTAATTAGCTGGGCGTGATGATGTGCGCCTGTAATCCCAGCTACTCTGAAGGCTGAGGCAGGAGAATCACTTGAATGCAGGAGGCAAAAGTTACAATAAATGGCGATAGTGCCATTGCACTCCAGCTTGGGCTGGAAGAGTGAAACTCCTGTCTCAAAAAGAAAAAAAAGGTTTCCTTTTGTGTCCTTACTTTTCCCCATTTTCCCATAAATTGATGAAAATTCTACTGCAAACTTGCACCAGCCCACCAGCTAACATTAAGTTAGCCCTCCCTGCCCCCTTGGTTTGGTATACTGAGCTCAAATCTAAGGCATTTGGGGGTCTTCTGGTTCTCCCAGTTCTTAGACTTGTGGCCTTATCTTCATGGTGCCTCAATTTCTTATTTTAAATAGGGATTTTTTTTCACCTACTTAGGGCCTGGCTCACACCTGTAATCCCAGCACTTTGGGAGGCTAACACCTGGCAGATATCTTGAGCTCAGGAATTTCAGACCAGCCTGGGCAACAGGGTAAAACCCTGTCTTTACAAAAAATACAAAAATTAACTGGAGAGGCCGGGCGTGGTGGCTCACGCCTGTAATCCCAGCACTTTGGGAGGCTGAGGCGGGTGGATCACGAGGTCGAGAGATCGAGACCATCCCGGTCAACATGGTGAAACCCTGTCTCTACTAAAAATACAAAAAATTAGCTGGGCATGGTGGCACGTGCCTGTAATCCCAGCTACTCGGGAGGCTGAGGCAGGAGAATTGCCTGAACCCAGGAGGCGGAGGTTGCGGTGAGCCGAGATCGCGCCATTGCACTCCAGCCTGGGTAACAAGAGCGAAACTCTGTCTCAAAAAAAAAAAAAAAAAATTAACTGGGCATGGTGGTGCATGCCTTTAGTTCCAGCTTCTTGGGAGGCCGAGATGTGAGGATCACTTGATCCAGGGAGACTGAGGTCACTGTGGAGTGAGCCATGATGGTGTCCCTGCACTCTAGCCTGGATGGTAGAGATTGATCCTGTCTCAAGAAACAAACAAACCTACTTTGCCAGATGAATGTTAGGATGAAAAGTGATAACATATATGTTCCTGAAATAAAGTCTTTTCTCAGTTATTGCTATTACCATTGATTGGAGATGTTAATTTATTTTTCAGTGTTTGATAATAAATGTCTTTATGTGTAGTAAGTTTTTTGTATATAGTTGTTATATGTTTAAACATTATTTTAATGTATTTTATTGCTGACTTCATGGCATAGCATAAAAAATGTTCATTTAAAACAATTTTGAAGTTGTGCAAGAGAAACTAATATGCAGAATATTTTTTTTTTTTTTTTTTTTTTTAAGATGGAGTCTTGCTCTGTCACCCAGCCTGGAGTGCAGTGGTGAAATCTTGGCTCACTGGAACCTCCGCTTCCCAGGTTCAAGCGGTTCTCCTGCCTCAGCATCCCTAGTAGCTGGGATTATAGGCACCCACCACCGTG